GGACCTGGCGTTGCATAACAGCAGCCGATGGTTCCGGGCCGGGGGATCTAGGTCTCCTGGAAGCCGAGTGGAGACCTGAGGACCGGAGCACCCACAAGCTTGTAAATAGCGTGTGCGTGCTCCCCTAACCTGATATGGTCCTCTGCTCCCGCCATATCTGCCTCTCCCACTGACCGTACTGATACCTCTCTCCTCCCTCCACCCCCCACCCCCCTCCCCCGCCCTCTCTACACCGCAACCCCCAGACATGGCTGGTCCTGACCTAAGGAGAACCTCCCCCCTCCCAGCCCCACATCAAGGGCAGCCCCACATCAAGGCCATTGCAGTGGGGATAATTCTTGCTATGTCTGAATGGCTGAAGAAGCTTCACGGTTTTTATTTATTCCTGTGTATCCTGCCTTTATTATTATTAATAATAATATTAATATTGTTATTATTGCTACCAATAATTCAAGGCAGCAAACATACCTGATATTCTTTCCTCCTTCTGTTTTCCCTCAACAACCCTGTGAGGTGGATTAAGCTAAGAGAGAGTGATTGACACCCTGCTTTCGTGACTAAGGCGGGACTAGAACTGCCCGTCTCCCGCTTCCTAGCCAGGTGCTCTAACCACTAGGCCAAATTGGCTCAGTTGGGACTTGAAGCCCAGGCAGGTCTGCAAAGGTTAATCTATTCGTGAAAGAACCCAATTTTTGACTTCACACCCTTCACGGAATGAAAAAAGCCGCCAACGTGGACAGAGACACACCAGACATGCAGCTTCCAGGGAATTAAACCAGGGTTCACTCTAACCGAGGTTTGGACAATCTGCAAAGGAAGCTGCAAGTCGGTTGCAATTTATTGTCATCAAAGATGTTTGCAACACAGCAGGTTAAGCCTGTTCTGTAGACCCAGCTCTCTCCCCCTCCTCCTCCCCCCCTCCTCCTGCCCTCCTCATCCTCCCCCCCTCTTCTTCCTCCCCCTCCTCCCCCTCCTCTCTTCTCATTGGGCCTCCTGTCTTCCCACACAGGTACTGGAGCTGATTTCGATTGTATCCCTGGTTGGTCCGCCTATGATCGGTATTGCTACCAGGCCTTCAGTGAACCGAAAAACTGGGAAGATGCAGAGGTGAGGGGTCTTTGTGTGCCTGAGGGTCTCCCAGCCCAGGCCGAGGAGAGGAGACGTCCAGGGAGAGCCTTGCAAAGCCCCCAAGTGGCTAGGCTGAGAGAGAGGGAGAAAGGGATCCCTGAGAGGCAGATATCCTGGGGACCCTCCCTCTGAGCCCCCTGGAGCTCCCCTTCTCCGCCCTTGGAACCAGCAGGAAACGGTGCCAGGATCCTCTTTGCTGCCCCCCTAAGAGGAGGAGGGGGAGGCCCCTTTGCTGAGCCAGAGGGGCTCCCCTGACAGGGAGCAGGGGGTGAGCGGGGTCTGCAGAGCCCACTGCCCCAAAGGCTGGTCCCGGCTTCAGTTCGGGGCCTCTGTGGAGGAGGAGGAGGGGAGGAGGAGGGGGGGGGGTAGGAGGAGGGGGAGGAGGGGGAGAAGGAGGGAGAGGCCCCTTTTCTGAGCCAGAGGGGCTCCCCGGACAGGGAGCAGGGGTTGAGCAGGGTCAGTCCGGGGCCTCTGTGGAGGAGGAGGAGGAGGAGGAGGGTCTGTTCAGGGAGGGCAACTGTGGGGGGTCAAGGAGATCCTGAGGGTGGCCAGGACCAGGCAGTCCGATCCCTGCTCTGTTCTCAGAGGCAGGAACACACACACACACACACACACACACACACATAACCCACCATATAGACACAAATCTCCTTCTCAGCTGAACAAGTCTCTCTCTCTCTCTCTCTCTTGTCGGTCTCTCCCAGAGTTTCTGCGAGGAGGGGGTGAAGACCTCGCATCTGGTCTCCATCGAAAGCTCCGGAGAAGGAGACTTTGTGGCCCAGCTGGTCGCTGAGAAGATAAAGACGTCCTTTCAGTATGTCTGGATTGGGCTGAGGATTCAAAACAAAGAACAGGTAGTCCTCAACTTACGAACACAACTGAGTCCAGAATTTCGGTTGCTAAGTGAAACATTTCTTAAGTGAGTTTTGCTCCATTTGGTGACTCTTCTGGCCACAGTTGGTGAGTGAATCACTGTAGTGAAGTTAGTAACATGGTTATTAAATAAATCCGGCTCCCCCATTGACTTTGCTTGTCAGACGGTCGCCAAAGGGGATCCTGTCATCCTGGGGACACTGTGACCGTCGTAAATAGGAGTCAGTTGCCAAGCGTCTGAATTTCGATCCTGTGAGCACAAGGACACCAACGTGGTTTCAGTGTGACAAATGGCCCCTTTTCCCAGTGATGTTGTAACTTTGAATAGTCGCTAAATGAACTGTTGTAAGTCGAGCACTGATTGCAGGTCCTCTCTAATGCTAATCTTTATCGATTCCCCTTTCCTGTTTCTAAAGGTTTGTGGTTTTGTTTTGGAAGAATCCTCCAATGGGAGGCAGAGGTCTCCCTATTCAATGTTCCTGCCTGGGACAACGGCAGAGAAAACCAAAGCAGAAAAGCTTTACACACTCTCTCTCTCTCTCTCTCCCCTCCCCAAATCCTTCCTTCCTCCTGAAGGACCGACTGCGGTCTTGAAGGGCCGGATCCTGCCCTGGCCCCCATCTCGGCCCCCAGGCCTTCCTCCCTCTGGAGGG